TCTTTTGCTGCCCACATTTCCCTCTTCCCTTCTGCCTTCTTCACTTGCCCCTTTTGAGTGTGCCACCATCTCTTCCAACCAGATCCTGGCTGATATAATTACTGTTATAGTTCGTTCTAGAAGGTGCTTGTAGCCAGTTATCTCAACTCGGAGGGTGCCGTGGGGCTGAGGATATGGATGTGACCCGGTTGGGTTGGTCCATCACTGATGGACTCGAGGCCAGTCATTGGTGCACTTAGCTTTCTCCTCCGAGTGCCAAGTTAGTTGAGCGTCTCTACAGCTGTAATCTGACAATTCTCGTGCGTGGAGCCTTCTCTGCACACACTCTGTCTATGAGGTGATGTACTCAAGTCTTTTCCTATATCCAAACCTGTGAGGTGTGAGTTAACATCTCTCACCTTCTACAGATGAGAGAGCTGAGGTCCAGAGAGTTGCCATAGTTTCCTCAAGGTCACGAGGCCACTCTGGGGAAGAGAGTAGGGTTTAGATTGAGATCTTAATCGAAGCTGGTAGGCTTTTCAGTGGGACACGCGGCCTCAGACTACATGAGTGCACACATCTTAGTACGGATGGAAAAATGCGCTGCTGCTGGGTCAGTTCTATAAATACCATTGATAAAGGACATTAGATGGTGGCAGCAGCTTGGCAGAGGGAGAGCCATGTGGAAAGGCTTGGGGCCAAAAGGGGTCTTTTCTAGGCAAGGCATTCCCCTGGGCTGCATGGTGTTTGTGATGTCTGTAGATTGCTCTAATAGACAGTATTCTGGGTGACCCATCCTCATGTGAACACGTCCTCCTTAGGAGATTTGGCAGGCTCCATTGCCCAAAATGATCTATTTCTTGAGATGAACCTGTCGGCGCCCTGGCTGGCACCTGACCTCAGGCACTGAGAGGTTCTGGTTTCTTTCAGTATTTCGCCTCCCACATGCTCAGCGTCCAGGAATGTGAGTCGCTCTGTTTATCGTCTCAGATCATAGTGCCTGGTGGTTATGATGCAGTGATGTGAGACCTTCAGGCCTCAAAACACTATTTATTTCTCAAGAAGCCCTTCTCCTCTCCCCTTCCCTGCCCTCCCTTCTCTTCCTGTCTTCTTTTCTCTTTTTTCCTTTTCTTTCTCTAACCTCCTCATGCCTAACCTCTATAATGCTGCTGTGGCATTATGCCCTAACTTACTCATTGAACTCTTCAAATATCCTTCATTCTTGTCAGTATTTTGTTCTTTGGTCTACACCCTTAAAAATTTAAACAAGGAAACTGCAGAATTGCCCAGACTCACACAAATCATTTTGACTTAACTGTCAAAACGTTGGCCAAAAAAAAGGTCTGGTCAATATTTATTGACTGCTTATAATGTGGAAATCACCTTCCAGATCAGCCCCATCCAATAGAATACACTCAGAGGTACAAACGCACATCACAGATGTAATTTTAAAATTTCTAGTAGCCACATTAAAGAAGTAAAAAGAAACTGGTGAAATTAATTTTAACAATATAATTTATTAACAATATTTTCAAATGATCATTTCCGTATGTAATTTTTACATTCTTTTTTTTTTTTTTGATATTTTACTTTTTTTGGCATTAACTATTTGCCTGAGAAAATCTATATTTCTCCTATGTTCTTGAAGGATAATTTTGCAGGGTAGAGAAATCTAGGTTGTTCAGTTTTTTCTTTTAACACTTTAAATATTTTCTTTCTCTCTCTCCTTGCTTTCTGGGAAGTCAGATGTCATTCTTACCTTTACTCCTCTTTAGGGAAGGTGTTTTTCCCCTCTGGCCTCTTACAGGATTTTTTTCTTTATCTTTGATTTTTTTTTTCCATTTTAAATATGATATGTCCTGGTGATGGGGTTTTGCATTTATCTTGTTTGGTGTTCTCTGAGCTTCCTGGATTTCTGATTTGGTGTCTGACATTAATTTGGGGGAAATTCTCAATCATTATTGCTTCAAATATTTCTCTGTTCCTTTCTCTCTTTATTCTCCTTCTGGGTATTCCCATGGTGTGTCTATTGCACCTTTTGGATCGTTGTCTCATAAGTTCTTGCATGTCCTGCTGTGTTTTCTTTTCTTTTTTTCCCAATCTTTGTTCTGTTTTTCCATTTTGGGCAGTTTCTATTGGGATAGCCTTAAGCTCAAAGATTCTTTTTCTTTTTTTTTTTTGAGACAGAGTCTTGCTCTGTCGCCCAGGCTGGAGTGCAGTGGTACGATCTCGGCTCACTGCAAGCTCTGCCTCCCGGGTTCAAGCCATTCTCCTGCCTCAGTCTCCTGAGTAGCTGGGACCACAAGTGCCTACCACCATGCCTGGCTAATTTTTTCTATGTTTTAGTAGAGATGGGGTTTCACCATGTTAGCCAGGATGGCCTCGATCTCCTGACCTCGTGATCCACCCGTCTTGGCCTCCCAAAGTGCTGGGATTACAGGCATGAGCCACCACGCCCAGCCAAAGATTCTTTCCTCAGTTGTATCCAGTCTACTAACAAGCCCATCAAAGGCATTCTTCATTTGTTAGTGTTTTTCATCTCTATGATTTCTTTTTCTTTCTTAGAATTTCCATCTTTCTGTGTACACTGCCCATCTGTTCTTGAGTGCTGTCTATTTTACCTGTTACAGTTCTTAGCATATTAATCATAGTGTTTTACATTCCTGGGCTGGTAATTCCAACATCCCTGCCACATCGGAGTCTGGTTCTGGTGTTTGCTCTGTTTCTTCAAACTCTGCTTTTCACCTTTGAGTATGCCTTGTAATTTGTTCTTGGTAACCAGACGTGATGTACTGGGTAAAAGGAACTGCTATAAATGGGTTGTTAGCCGTGTGGTGGTGAGGTGTGGGGAGAGGGGAAGTGTGCTAGAGTCCTTTGAGATTCTAGGTCCCAGTCTGAGTGAGCCTGGGCCTCTGGACTGTGAACTTCACAAGTGCCTCTCAGTTTCTCTATCCTCCCCCTCCCACCTTAGGTGGGACAAGATGGCTGGAGAGGGCTGGAGTTGAGTATTTCCCTTCTTCCAGTTCGGTATGGGGCTCTGATAAAAGCTCCAAAGGTTAGGCTCTGGTTAAATAGTTTTTCCTGAGGGCAGACTTTGTTAGGAAGAACAGAAAGCTCTGGCTTACACCAAAATGGTTACTTCCCCCTCCCCCTGCTGGAAGCATGAAGGAATTTTTCTCTGCTATTCACTGTAAGCACCCGCTTGCACTCCTGGATAGAAACCTCACCGAAGGGTGGGGATACCCCTATGACGGGGTCCCCCTGGAGTTTCTGACTCTCAGACTTGTCTACACTGAGCCTCCAGCAGTTCATTAACTACAGCTTAAGGTTACTTGTCCAGCACTGGTTTCCACAGAGCTTTCTGCTCAGGAGTCTCTGCTCCGGTAAGTTGTGATTCGTTTTTTTCTTTTGTTTTGTTTTATTTTTGTTTTTGTTTTTTTGAGATGGAGTCTCACTCTGTCGCCCAGGCTGGAGTGCAATGGTGCGATCTCGGCTCACTGCATCCTCCGCCTCCTAGGTTCAAGTGATTCTCAAGCCTCAGCCTTCTGAGTAGCTGGGATTACAGGCATGGGCCACCACGCCCAGCTGATTTTTGTATTTTTAGTAGAGATGGGGTTTTGCTGTGTTGGCCACGTTGGCCTCAAACTTCTGACCTCAAGTGATCCGCCCACCTTGACCTCCCAAAGTGCTGAGATTACTGATTCTATCTCCCTCTCTCTCCAATTTTAGCGGCAGTGATTTGCTCTGTGACCTCACTTCTCTTATGGATCTAAGAAGGGTTGTTGATTTTGCACTTTATTCAGCTTTTTACTTGTTAAAAGGAAGTGACCACTTCAAGCTCTTTACATACTGAACTGGAAAGTGTACTAAGTCTTTGAAACTTGGTGTGTGTTTAAAATTAGGTGATATATTACCCTTTGTATTTTTTTTTGGTACTGTGTCTTTGAAATTTGGTGTGTATGTTACAGGATATGTTGATTAGAACAAGCCACCTGTTCATTAGCCACAAGTGGCTTGTGACTTCTATACTGAACAAAATAGTATTAGGTTGGTGCAGAAGTAATTGTGGATATTGCCAACGAAAGTGGCAAAACTGCAGTTACTTTTGCACCAACCTAACAGCTCTAAATGGAAGACTGTTTGCCTGAGAATTGAGTGATTAACTGTTATCTCAGGCATAAATCAACTTCCCACCTGAGGGTAACTAACTTTTTTACAATATTAGAAATGCAGTCCAAATACCCTAGGTGAGTTAATTCACTAGGTGGTAAAGATCAGCCAGTAGGCATTTACCTCATGTTTATCAGTCCTAGGTAAAGCAGTTCCTTCTTATCACAGGGTTGCTTGATATTTAAATTAGGGGCCATTTCCTCCAAGACCCTGATTTTTTTTTTTCTCTCTTGTTATTAAATTACTTCTGCAAATGTGAGTGTGGAGCTTGCCAGAATTTTTTGGTATTTCTCTGTGTCCAGTTGCCCACTGATGCATCTTGCTTTTGTCCCCAACAGCAGGGCAAACTCAACCCGGGACAAATGAGACTTCCAACTCTCAGCCAGGTGCAGTGGCTCACGCCTGTAATCATAGCACTCTGGGAGGTGGAGGCAGGCAGATCACTTGAGGTCAGGAGTTCGAGACTAGGCTGGCCAACATGGAGAAACCCCATCTCTACTAAAAATACAAAAATTAGCTGGGCGTGGATCCCAGCTACTCAGGAGGCTAAGGCGGGAGGATCGCTTGAACCTGGGAGGCGGAAGTTGCAGTGAGCCGAGATCGCACCACTGTACTCCAGCCTGGGCGACAGAGTGAGACTCCATCTCAAAAAAACAAAAAGGCTTTTCAGCTCTCTAATACTCCAATTTAGTGGCAGGTCTTCTCAGAGAAGTAAGCTAAATGGATATTGTCAGACTCCTGCCAGCAGAGACCATCTACATTTCTTAGATCAGGGAGAAAAGGGAATGCCTTCTCGCCCTGCCCCTCCAACATACTTTAGCCCGTGGAGGCAGAGTGGCCACATTTCTTACCTGAGATTGCTGGTGCTTCTGGTAGAACTCAATCATGTTAAAGTCACCCAGGTCAACCAGCAGGCCTTGCTTACACATCTCACAGGTCTTCACGGCACCAAGATCTGCTCCTTAAATTAGATAAAAGAATTATATGTACATATAACCATGGGTCTGTTTGTGTTAGCACTTTGGACAGGTGATACTTGGAGAGTGAACTTGTGTGTGTTATGAATTCTGAGCTTGAGTGACCTTCCTTTAAAGCCAGCCATCTTCTGTAGAACATGACCTTGAATCTGAGAGCTGAAAAATTTCCTTTGTAGTCATCTATTATGCAAGCTTCATAGAAGTGAAATTCCTATGACTTTTAAATAGCAGATCTTGCTTTCTATTTAAACATAAACATGATGGTTCATAAACTTGGAATTGCTGCAGAGAGGCTAAGAGTCTGTAACACAGGTGTTTGTAAAAAGAGTGAATATTCGGCTTTTTTTTTTCTTGCAGACCCAACACAGGTCCAAGTAAATAAATTAGTGAGGACCAAAATAGATGGTAGAAGCTATTCTCGATCAATGGCTTAAAAATCTGCCTTTGCTCCTGCCAGGTAACATTCCCACCTGAGAACAGTGAGGGAGCGAGGGGCCAAGTGTGGGCGCTAGTTACAGGAGTACCTGCGGCCAGCTCATCAACCTGAGCTCAGACTCATCTGGGAAAAGAAATATGAGAAGGCTTCCTTTGTTGCTGTTTTTATAAAAACAGGCATTCTACATCAGCGTTTTTATCCTGCTCCCCAAAGCGAAAGTGGAAGATGCAGAACTGGGCTGTTATGTCTAAGCAAACATTCTGTCAGACAGGTCTTTTGTCCCCCCTTAGTTGTGGCTTTTGACTAATGATGTACTGGTGTTTATTTTATGCATTAGAAAATAGAAGACCTATAAGTTACCTGCATGTGTTTGGTAAAAATAGGGCTTGTGCAGTTTCATACCCGCATTCTATTTCCCCACTGGGAATATAAAGAAACAGTAAATAATAGAGACTTTCAAAGGGCAGGGATGAACAGTAAGTAACCCCTTATCTACATTTTGTTTGCTTGACTTTTTTTTTTTTTTTAGCATCATTCAGTAACACTTTAGGCTACCGAATGTCCCATGTGTCTTCCGATAGAATCCTACTGAACACATCCATACAAGCATTGACATTTATGAGCATAGCAGCATTTTCATGACATGTTTCATGGGTAACTTTTTCTGTGTTAGATGTTAATTGGCCCAAATTTCTAGGAAGATAAAGGATTGCATGGCAGAGTTGTTAACCAAAATCCACTCGTTTCTTCCCTCTCTGAAGGACTGAATACTTTGCTCATTGTATGGATATGCATTTAAGCTTCTCGATCAGTGGACTTACATTTCTTATGCTAGGGAAGTTGCATAAAATGGGCTGCATGGGTGAGACAGTAATATGATTACCCCACGTGTTCGTTCTGATTCCATGGTGTGCTGTTCTTGGTGAGGGGGCGTGGCAGCATCTCATGAGGACAGAATAAAGCTCTAAGTCTCCCCGCAGCCTAGAATAGTGATGGCTAAGGAGAAGGATATGGAAGAGGGGGAGAAATAGGATCTGGCTGTGGGGTGATACATTTTCAGAGAGGTGTGTCTGAAAGAAGTCACAGCTATTTTCTGATCAACTTGCTCTTTGCACTGACGTTCCATGCTTTTTTTTTTTTTTTTTTGGTTAAAGTTGATCTCATTCCTAAAGCCATGCTTTAAAGAAATCTTCCGTTCTCTGCCCAGAAAACTACAGCTGACCTACCGATGTGGTTGTATTTAGGTTATAACCTGCTCAGGGAGTTGAGAAGGGGCTGCACACCCAGTTATAAGATGCTAGGGAGCTGACAAAATCCGCACGTGGGAATTTATCTCATATGGTTCTAGACAATCAGATCAACGCTCTTATCCCTATTGCTAAAAGGCAGCTTTGTTTAGTTTCTTAGGTGACCCCCAAATAAAAGGAAGTAGCATGCGTATGCTGGGGGTCTCTCATGAGGGACCTTCTGAAGTATTTTGCTGGGTGTCTGCTAGCTGGGCATGGCTACTGTGTGTCTGCTGAGCTGCCACCACTGACCCACTTCTTCTATTTCCTTCCTCCTGAGAGGCGATCTTAGCATCTCTGCTCAAGCCTCAAGCAGAGGTAGAATTCAATAGTATTTGTTTCCAGAAGTATTTTCTCAGATTTAAAAAAACCAAAAAACAAACAAATAAAAAAACACAACTCCCTCCCATAAAGACAGTTTTTATGAGCAAGAATCCGGAGCTCAGCCACGTGTCCCTGAGTCGCTGTTCTGCGGAGGAGAGTGAGCTGATGACAAGGTTCCGAGGCCCACACCGTGGTGCCTCGTGTTAATTACATGTCGTGGCACGTTCGCTGCACTTCCTTCCCCACCTACCTGATGTTATTTTCACTTTCAGCCACTTTTTCAGGCACTCTTGATGAACAAACCGCAGGCTTCCCACACAGCCACAAGGCTCCAGGAGGGGGTTGCTTGGGGAACCCCCGGCTATCTGACAGATGCGACACAAGTCTCCCTCCTCCTCGGAGTCCTCCTCCAGGAGACTAAATGGAAAATAAGCCCTCGTGACCAGGAGGCTACATGTTTACAGTTTCTACAAATACCAGTTCCCAGGGCATTGGCAGTAAAGGAAGAGGGCTCCTGGCACTCACCCACTGCCCCCTCTGACCCTACTGAGATGGTTTTTAATAATAAAGGCACAAATTCTCTTTTTTGTTTTGAAACAGAGTCTCACTCTGTTGCCCAGGCCGGAGTGCAGTGGCACAATCTTGGCCCACTGCAGCCTCAACCTCCTCAGGCTCAGGTGATCCTCCCACTTCAGCCTCCCAAGAAGCTGGGATTATAGGTGCATGCCACCACACCTGGCTATTTTAAAAATTATTTGGTAGAGATGTAGTCTCACTATGTTGCCCAGACTGGTCTTGAACTCCTGGGCTGAAGTGATCCAGATGCCTTGGCCTCCCAAAGTGCTGGGATTCTAGGTGTGAGCCACGGGGACTGGCCGAGGCACAGATTCTTGTAACAGGCTTCTTTGCAATTGTCGGTACGTGTGAGCTGACCTGGAAGACCAGCATGGCCACCATAAATCAAGAGGTAAAGGGATATGGCTACAGAATCATTTCCAAACTGCAGTCAAGGCCAGGAGCCCCTCTCCCTGCCATAGGAAGTTGGTGGGGGTGGCATACTGGTAAGTGCATAGGATTCGTGGTCAGGGGGCCTGGGTTTGAGGCCAGCCTCTGAAACTTGTCAGTTGTGTGACGTTGGATAAGTTCCTTAATCTTCCCAAGACCCTGTCTCCTGTACAATGTACACTGGGGGTCTGTACAATGAGGGTCATGGTGATAAACGCCACTGCCACCTGCTTCCCAGGGTTGTGGCCAGGCTGGCTGTGCGTGATGATGAGGAACATGTTCTGCAAACTGTAAAGTACATCTAGTGTCTGGCAAGGTGTTGCACACAGAGTTCACTTAATAGATGTTGGTTTAGGTGAATGATGAACCAATAAACCTGGACACAAGCTCCCGAATAACACCACACATGCCAACAAATGACGTCAGCATTCCAGAATGTAAGCGGCTGGAATCTGATGAAGATAAGAACTAATGAAAATGTAAGTAAAGATATTTGTGTCTAATAAATGGTGAGTGAAGAATAGCTGGTCGATGTTTATGTTGGGAGGTTTTAAGAAACCTAAGGCTATTTTCTTTCGAGTCCTCGTGGGACTGGGGGCCGTCTGGTCAAGGGAAAGAAACTGGCTAGAGACTAAAATCAAAAGAGGAAGAAATGGACATTGCTCTGGATGTAGAAATATATGCTCAGTTTCTTGAAAGACCTTTTTCCCTATGAAAGAGCAGCTCAGTGTAAAGGAGCAGAATTATAGTTTTCCATTATGGACATTCTCAATAACTTAGACATTTTCAACATTTAGACTTTAATACATTTCAACATAGTTTCCATATTTTCATAAGTAATTAGGAAGAACATGTGTACATGGGAGTCAGTGCTCCAACTGGTGAAGATAAACTAGAGGGAGACCTTGAAAGTTTGAGAAAGTAGGCAGAAAAGTGGTAGAAGATTTGTTGTTGTTGTTGTTGTTTGTTTTGAGATGGAGTCTCGCTCTGTCACCCAGGCTGGAGTGCAGTGGCTCAATCTCAGCTCATTGCAACCTTTGCCGGCTTCAAGCGATTCTCCTGCCTCAGCCTTCTGAGTAGCTGGGATTACAGGCATGCACCACTACACCAGGCTAATTTTTGTATTTTTAGTAGCGATAGGGTTTCACCATTTTGGCCAGGCTGGTCTCGAACCCTTGACCTCAGGTGATCCGCCTGCCTTGGTCTCTCAAAGTGCTGGGATTAGAGGCATGAGCCACAGCACCTGACCTAGACAATTTTTAATTTGGGCAAGTACGAGGGATTTGCATTTGGAAAGAAGTGCTGTAAATCAGTGGTTTCCAATAGAAAATAAATGACCATCGGGTTCACCGGTAGAGATTTTACAGATTCCTGGGCTCCACCCTTAGCAGTTCTGGTTCAGTATCTGGGGTCCAGAAACCTGAATGTTAAGATGGTCATGCAGGTCTGAAGATCACTGATCTCAACAGGAGGAGGAAGGGTTCTATGGTGAACTTGTTATGGTTGATAAATATCTGACTCTTAACTTAAGGTCCTCCATCTTCTCAAAGGTATAAGTGGGGATCCACTGGCTACCTTACTTTGTAAAAAAAAAATTTTTTTTTTTTTAACAAATAAAAGTGAAGAAGAGACAGAAAAGCACAGAAAAGAAAAGGAGAATCAAGCATAAAATCAATACCCCAAAGTAACTGCTTGTTAATAGTTGAGTCTGGCTGGGAACAGTGGCGCACACCTGTAATCCTAGCACTTTGGGAAGCTGAGGCAGGAGGATGGCTTGAGCTCAGGAGTTCAAGCCCAGCCTGGGCAACACAGCGAGACCTTGTCTCAAAAAAAGAAAAGAAAAAAATATCTTTTGGTGTACTAGCCTCTGGTATTACTTCTGTGCACATATTGTTTTACAGAATTGAGACTGCTTTTAGGATTAGCTCAAGATAGCAGGCTAAGCACCCCCATCAGTCTCCTTTCCCACACAAATCTCTTAAAAAGACAAAAAAAGAAAATTAAATAGAATGAATCCACAATAGTGCTGGAAAACAAGCAGGCCAGAAATGAGGAATTCTTGGAAAGTTGATGAAGATATGATGATATTGACTAGAGGAAAGGAAATGGCAAACCAAGGCATTCTCACAGAAGCATCGAGAAGGGAAGGGCAGAACCAGGGAAATTCCAGGCTTGGGCTGCACCAGTGCAGGGGATGGGAGGGTACGAACTCAAAAACTGCTTCAGCACGAGGGGACCAGCTGCTGCCCACTTTCAGATACCCTGTGATGCAGGCAGCACAGTGCCTCTCCCAGGGGAACATTCTGTCATTGTATTCCAAAGAAAGGGAACTCTCCATAAAGGTCAAAGTTTTTTGTTTTGTTAGAGACAGGTCTCACTCTGATGCCCAGTGGCAATCATAGCTCACTGCAACCTCGAGCTCCTGTGTTCAATTGATCCTCCCACCTCAGCCTCCCAAGTAGCTGTGACCACAGGTGCACGCCACCACACCCAGCTAATTTTTTCTTAGAAACAGGGTCTCCTATGTCGCCAGGACTTGTTTCAAAGTTCTGGCCTCAAGCAATCCTGTCTCAGCCTCCCAAAGTACTGGGACTGTGGGGAGTGAGCCACCCCGCCTGGCCACAGGTCAAAGTTTTTCAAAAAGTTCATGAATGACATTCAATTACACAAAAACCTCCCATTCAGGAAAGTGGATCTCAGAGGAGAAAAAGCACACAATTGCTGGGGACAGCATGCTGGCCACCTCTCTCTACTAAACCACCCATTCCTTCCTTCATAAAACAACTGGGGGCCTCCTGTCACATGTGGAAACCACCAGCATGAATGAGAGGGGACAAGGAAAATAAGTCAGCTGACTCTAGAGGAAATGAATTGTTTAATGAAGGGAGGAGGTAATTCTCAGGAGGATTCAGAGGCTATTGGCAGCTGCTATGTAAAAGGAACAACGAGAGATAAGGAGGATTTCTGGGGATTTAAAAAATGTGATTAACAAAATAAAAAATTCCAGGTGAAACAATATTAATAGACAAAATATAATTCAGGCTAAAAGTCTAAAGCTAGATATTGATCGATCCACCAAGAAGAGATCAGCCATGAGCTTTAATGCACGAAATAAAAGCAAAATTCTTATACATGCAAAGGAGAATGGGCAAATCCAAATCATACTGGGGGATTTTAATCAATCTCTTTTAGAAATTGACAAACTCAATGGAAAAGAATAAAGTATGAAGGGTTTTTTTATGTTTGTTTGTTTTTGTGACAGGGTCTCACTCTGTTGTCCAGGCCGGAGTGCAGTGGCAAGATCTTGGCTCACTGCAGCCTCTGTTGCCTCCTGGGCTCACGTGATCCTCCCACCTCAGCCTCTCAAGTAGCCGGGACCACGGGCACATGCCACCACCCCCGGCTATTTTTTTATTTTTATTTTTTGTAGAGACGGGCTTTTGCCATGTTGCCCAGGCTGGTGTCGAATTACTGAGCTCAAGGAATCTGCCCACCTTGGCCTCTCAAAGGGTTGGGATTATAGGTGTGAGCCACCGTGCCTGGCCTGAAGGATTTTAACATATGTATTTTATATATATATGCCAACAAAGAGAGAAGAGGGAATGTACAACCTTTTCTAATGCCATAGCATATTTATAAGTATTGAATATGTATTAGGGCACAAAAAATACTGTTCATATTTTCTGAGATCATAATATAATTAAATTAGGATGGGCAATAAAAAATTTTGAAAAGAGGGTAACAAAGAGATTTTATATATATTTACATATAGATGATATATATTTATTATAGATAATTATACTAAAAATATATTTAATCTATGTGTATATATAGAAATATATATGTATACACATATAAATATATATGTATAAATATATACATATATATATTTTTAGAGACAGGTTCTCACTTTGTCACCCAGTCTGAAGTGCAGTGATCATAGCTCACTATAGACTCGACCTCCTGGGCTCAAGGGATCCTCCTGCCTCAGCCTCTAGAGTAGCTGGGACTACAGACATATGTCATTACACCCAGAGAATATATATATTTTTGTAGATATAGGGTATTGCCATGTTGTCCAGGCTGGTCTTGAACTCCTGGCCCCAGGTGATCCTCCCACCTTGGCCTCTCAAAGCACTGGGGTTAATGGCATGAGCCATCATGCCTAGCCATCAAATATTTTTTAAAAACCATAAATCAGCCAGGTGCGGTGGCTCACACCTGTAATCCCAACACTTAGGGAGGCCGAGGCGGGCGGCTCATGAAGTCATGGGTTTGAGACCAGCCTGACCAACATGGTGAAACTCCGTCTCTACTAAAAATACAAAAATTATCCGGGTGAGGTGGCACCTGCCTGTAATCCCAGCTACTCAGGAGGCTGAGGCAGGAGAATCGCTTGAACCTGAGTGGTG